AGAACCATGTAAAGAATTAAGAAGGCGGCCGCAGCTATTCATGGTTGGGATTGTCCCTTACTTACCTTCATCTACCCAGGTTTTGATTGTGGCTCAATCGAATAAGCCCAAATGAGGCCCCAACGCTTGCGGCTTGTTGTCGTCATTCAGCGTGACTGCAAAGTTTACCTGCAGGAGGGCAGAGTAACATGGCGAAGGCAATGTCATGGTGTAGTGCTGACATGGGTGAATCAGCACCTCAATTCTGGCCTCTGTCCCCTCGACGAAGGCCCCCACCTGCAACAAGTTGGCTGCTTTGGCCTCCCTAAGACCCCGTCCGGCCAATGATTTGCTTCGGCAAGACAGCTTCATCCTCCCCCCTTACACGGGGAAGTGGGCCGAATTCCCATGCAAACATGTTCGTTGCCTGCGTGGCGTGCGCGACGACGTCGCAGCCAAAGACCGAGCTCAGCTCAGGGCACTCAATGTAGGCCATGCCCATCCTAATTTCCGCACCGTGAGGCGAACAAAGCAAGCAACCAGAGGCTCGCTGCAACCAGCCACTGCAAAGCAGTGCAAACACCAAAAGCATCCCCCATTCACATCTCCGTGAGTCAATAGTCAATAATAACACGCCAGTGGAAGCGCGTGAATTTGCTGTGAGTTCATCATGCTCGAGCGCATGTTGCTCAAGTGTATTGGCTCCAGTGTATATATCTTGTTCGATTGCAATGTGTCTTTCTCACTTGCCCGCTCACTTATACATTGCTCACGTGTGTCTGCTCGACTGCTCCTTGCTCACGCACATCTTGCTCGCTCAACTAGTCCCTGCTCCAATGTATCTCGCCCGAATTTCTGCTCGCATGAATCTGGCTTATGTCATGAGTGCAGCGCGCCCACGAGACAAACTTCTGGACCCTGAAAACTAAAAGGCGAACCACGAATTTATCGAGCCCGACGTGCCGCGATGCAGAGGGCTCATCCGGGCTCAGGATAAACACAAAAACTCACCTGCTTTTTCAGCCCTGACACGTGCAATCCACGTTCATCCAGGAACAAGGAAATCTAACAAAAAACAACACCACCCTTGGCACCGGTGCAAAAGGTGACCAAAAAAAAACACAAGTTCTTCGACCCCGACGCGCGCGATCCGCGCAGCGGGTTCACCCAAGTTTCAGATTGAAGCGCGTCGGTTGGTTCCGCGCACGCCCGATCCGCGCAAAAGGTTGTGGGCTCACGTTGTTCCTTGCCAAGCCCACCCGGTGCCAATGTAGATGCATTCAAAGACACGAGAAGTGAAATGACAGTGGCAATGGTGGCAGAAGTGGCACGAACTGCGAAAGTGTATAGTGGTCTATAAAATTGAACTGAGACAGTGTAGGCTTGGCTATTTGCCTATGTGATTGACAGTGCTACTGACAATCAAGCAACATTGCCAGAGTGATACTCACCCAATGTACAGCCCATGCGATTGACAGCATTGAGCCTGTGATATTGAAGCAGCGACACTCTAAGCGGCTGGTTGTTAGAAGAGACGAGCCTTTGTAGCGCTTCTCCGAAAGCGGAGAAAGCTTTTGAAGCCCATTGCAAGCTGAGAGCCCAGGCTGTGGGCTGATCTTCTTGATGGTGCCGCAACATCTTCGCTCTGTGAAGGCCTGGGACTCCCAGGAGCTGGAGGCGCCAGGTTTTCCATATGATTTTCTCCAACTCGGGCACCCCGGACCCCTTTCTTGGCCGGATTTTACATTAGAAACCGATCTGCTTGACGGGGTCTGACTTGAGAAGTACACCAAATGCCGCTCTCTCGTGGATTGCGACGTTCGGATCTGCCGGGCCTTCGTCGGCGCGTAGGTGAGGTCGGGTATGGCCACACCTCGATTTGATGGGGTACAAAGCCCTCAGCTGCGCCATGAGCATTGAGGCTCTGACTGACCAGCCCCGGCGCTAACTCGGGCTTCTGCTGGAGCAACTGAAGCAATTGGCCAATCCCTTTTGAGTAATCCCTTGCTCCGACTGTCGGTTCTCATTCATCTTCCTGTTCTTTGTATCGCACTCTCAGTCTCTCTCTCTCTCTCTCTCTCTCTTTCTTTCGACCTTTCTTCCTTTCTTTCTTTCTGGGTCCCTCCTCATACTTGACTGTCTGTCTCTGTGTCTTCTTTTACTGTTGTTCTTGTTTCTCCCTCCCTCTCCCTCTCTCTCCCTCCCTCTCCCTCCCTGGTCCTCATACTTGACTGTCTGTCTCTATGTTTTCTTTTACTGTTGTTCTTGTTTCTCCCTCCCTCTCCCTCTCTCTCCCTCCCTCTCCCTCTCTCTCCCTCCCTCTCTCTCTCTCTCCCTCCCTCTCTCTCTCTCTCTCTCGTTCTCTCTCTCTCTCTCTCTCCCTCTCTCTTTCGCTCTCGATCTCGTGCTTACTTCTCTGATTGATTTTTGCCTTAGTTGCAACATGTACCGTCGCGTCCAAACGATGGGCTCGCAGCATTCGTTAACGCAAAAGACAACGAGCAACACATCCACCTCCTCTTAAGCCGATTTGACGAAGAGCCCCAGAATCACCAGTGAAACTCGGGCACTAACCTTGACAGCCCCAGGCGGAGACATGAAAGAGCCAGAAGAACAAATCGCCTCCGAAACTGGGGGGGAGGGGGAGGTTCTATCCTCTCCAACTTCCCCAGCCCCCACCTGTCCCATGACCGTCTGAAGGATATTGTCATCCAACGAGCTGAGGGTGTTGAGGATGATCTGGCCAAACGTGCCAGCAGCCGAAGGCAGTAGGCAGTAGGCACTAGGCAGTGGACGCCTGGAGCCTTTCGACTGGGTAATGCTGACCCCATATCCATCAACATTTATTGGGGGGGGGGGTCCCTGGGTTTAGTGGAGAATCAGAACGCCCCCCCACCCCCCCCCCCCTTCCTGTTCATACACTAGGGTTGATTAATATGTGGTCAACATTATGGCCCTATGGCTCCGTTGGGAAAGCTGTTTGCCGGGCCACTTTCATGGCGCCTGGCCTTTGGGTCCATCGGTGGCAAGATGGGTCGGGGCCACTCGCGACCCTGTGAAACCAGATGCGCCGCATTGAGCCAGCGCTGCGAGAGATTCTTCCGAGCAAACGCACATGGATGGTGCGTCACTGGCACTTTTTAGCCTCTCAAAGGCGAAACAACAAAAGGCACCATCGCTTTGTCACTGCACACATTTTGTCTAAGTAATTGTGCAACGCAACCGCCTACAAGCCTCCTGGCAGTGAAACGAGCGAATTAAGACGAAACACGTAATGAGAGCAAAGACGTGAGACCACCCTCACCGGGCACCGGATGGAGAGACATCCTGGAATTTGCGCAAAACTGCTTGGCTCCATGACATTGTGTAGGGCCATATGAAGAGTCCCACAAACACGTGGCTGGGACCCAAAGCTAAACAAAAGAATCCAAGACTGCCTGCAATGGTGATTCGGTCTGGTTCTGCTTTGCAACACGACGTCTTACTCCCTGCTGGTTTCTTTCGTGGTGCCAGAGAATGGCCTAGGCATGAACAAAAGGAAAGAGAGCTGTGCCATAGTATCGTTCCAACACTCCAGTCGCAAGTACCTGCAGGTCCGACCTCGCCACCCTCAGCCCTCAGTCCATTGACCTAGCACCTCCCAGGACCCCCGCCCCCTGGCGCATTTTATTTTCGGTCTTGCAGCGCACATCGCATCACTCCGCAGGTGGAGAAAGGCCTCCAGCGCAGCAACCTTCGCTCCTGCCCTTCTGGCTGAGCAGGTCGGAGCGTCAACGCGAGTCTCACTCTGGCCAAGCATGCTTCCAAGAGGTTGGCTCCTCCTTTTTGTCCATGCTGGCATTAATGGCATGCACTTGGGCTCCGCGTGTTGCTGAAGCTGGAGCAATTTTTCCAGCGCAGCAACCTTCGCTCCCTGTACAGGTCGGAGGTCAGAGCGTGCCTTAAATTAATTACTGTACTGTAAGCTTTGCCGGCCGCCAGTTTCACAGAAGCGCCGCCAGCGCCAATGCAGCCAGGCTCACCATGGGCGAGAGGCTCCAACTGGCGGAGGTGATCGATGCGGGGCCCCCCTTGCCGTCGCAGTACTGGCAAGCGCTCCTCGTAGTGCAGCGGCAGACCCCGCAGTTCACCAGGTCTGGGGAGCCACAGGCTCCGCCCCCAGAGCTCGCGGCCGGCGCCGAGCTATCGATCTCGGCGGCGCCGCCTGTGCCGCTGCACCACTGGCAGGTGCTTTCAGGCACGCACTTGCAAACACCGCAGTCCACCATGCCAGCTAGGCCGCAAGAGGCCAAAGAACGGCCCCGCGCTGTGCCGTTGGTGCTGTTGATCGGCAGGGCCTTGCTATAGGACCAGCAGGTGCTTGCGGGCACGCACGTGCACCTGCCGCAGTCCACCGTGCCGGGCATGCCACACGCGGCCACAGGGTGGCCCCGCAGCGTGCGGTTGGTGCCCTCGATCGGCAAGGCCTTGGTGAAGGCGTCGCAGGTGCTTGCGGGCACGCACCGCATGCACAAGCCGCAGTCCACTCGGCCCGGCAGGCCACAGTCGGCCAAAGGTCGGCCCCGCGTGCCTTCGGTGCCGTTGTTCGCCAACGCCTGGGTGAAAGCAAGGGCCAGGAGCATGAACTTAGACATGGCTCGGAGGCTCTGAGGTTCGGTGTCGGTACCAAAGTGGGACACGAGTGCAAGCTGGCTCGGAGCCGGGGCAAAGCCAGCGAAGCGCTCAGCAACTTAGCCCAGTTCACTGCGCGCCCATGTTGGCTGCAACGAGCGGAAGACAAAAAAACAACTTGATCGGCTATGACCATCGCAGCAAACAAGTCAATCCACACTGATGATTGAATTGATTTCCCGATCCCCAAATTGCTAGGCAACCTGAGACGGAAACTACGCAAAGAATCCGTGTTCGGCAGAAAGCTTGGCCTTATGCCATTGCCAGGCACTACCGAGAGAACAACAAATGTGCACCTTGGCTGCCGGATGCATGAACAAGCCAACCGAGTTTAAGCGCCCCTTGATGCCCAACATCATACGAAACCCGCTGGGGGTCCACAGGAGTGAGGTAAACCATGCTCAAAGGAGTTACTCGTTAGTCACCTTGGTTCTACGAACCATGGTTATATGTTATAAGCGGTCAAAATGGTGTAAGTGTTACATACTAACCTCTCACAACCCCACCCACATCTCACAGGTCCGTCCCTGGCCCCAGCCAGGTTCCGGTGATTCCATCCCCCCCCCCTTGCCCTCAGGGCGATGCCTGAGCTTCGCTCCTTCCCTTACCCCATCGCCAGAATTGCCCACTCCTCTCCACCCGCTATGCTCCATTCCTCCACCTTTCCGCTTTTGATCCGCCCTGGGCCTCCAACCCTCCCCCCAACCAAACCAGAGATGCGTTTGGGAAGCTTTTGCCTGCAAGGGGCTACGAATTCGAAAACTGTTCGCGCTGCCATGAGCATTCCAAACCTGCCGTCGGTCCTCTTGCTCCGGGTCATCTTCTGCAGGCTCTTCCTCCTCTCCTTCTTCAATGATGATCTCCTCCTCATCTTCCTCCTCGTCCTCTTCCTGCGAAAGCTGGCAATTCAGCTTGGCACTCAGACACCAGATGCCACAGACCCTACAAAACTTGTCGGTTCGTCATTGTCCAAGCTTCGCTACAGGGCTTGGTCATCTGCGGCGTTTGCCATGACCAGATTGCTTTGGCCTGCCTGTCTACAGCGATGGAACTTGCTTCGGAGGGTAAGGGCCGACTCGATCCCAACCCCATCATAAACAACGTAAGCCCCAACGAGCTAGCATCACATCTGAACCAGCAGAGCTTGAAGAACTCACATCTTAGAATAATCCCTCGTCCTACTAACCTAACTCAAGTCACAATAGGCTCAGCACATGCGTGATGTTCATTTGCCGACCCCGTCCTCATTCTGGGCTTCAGGCTTTGATGGTGGCAAGCTCGGTGGGGACCTCAAGTCAGCTTGTTGTCAGAACACAGCAACTCAACAGGCGCGAAAAGGCGAGGTACGGCCAGCAAAATCCGAATCCTATAGCCATTCCAGGCAAATGTGTCTGGTTCACTCCTCACTCCTCGCCTCTCTGACACTCATCCCCACCCCATCTTACTCACCTCTTCCACTGATGCCTTCCTTGTTTCCTTCACATTCCTCTCTTTGGCCAAGAAGTTGCAGACGGGTGTCTGTGGCCTTAGCCTAACGGCTTGTGCAAGTGCTAGCGAGCAGAAAATTCATCCAGGCATCTGATCAAGTGCGCCGAAGGTGGGCCTTAAAACATGCATCTGTACAAAGGCCACGGGAATGCATACCCTCCGGCGCCCCCGATTCGACCCAACTAAGTCCAACCGCAGGCGACTGAGGAACAGCCAGCCCCTCACGCACCAGAAGCGCGCTGCCACCGACGCCGGCCATCCCACGCTTCCTCCTGACGGAGGAAAAGGACACATGCTGACGCCGACATCACGGAGGTTTGGGTAGCAAGTTTGCTGCCGCTTCACCTCGCAGATTTCATTGATACCTGACTCTCTCGCAATGTTTCTGCGGCAATCCGGCTGCGTCATGTGGCCATGCCGACTGCGTAAACTTGCTGAAAAGCACTTTGCCTACTCAGCCTGTCTGCACACGCGTCTGCAAACCAGCAAACAGGAAATTATTGGGCAACTGTGCAAGTGAAATCCATCTCTCGCGGGGAAGTTTATGCAAGAAAGTGGTTGGAACTGGAAATCGTTCTGCGTACGATGGATAAACTTGTAAGCTCCCAGAAGGCCTCTGTAAATGGAACCCAGTCTTCCAAAGGGGTTTTGGGAGCTTCCATAGAAGTCTGGGGGAGGCAAAACGCATCTTTGCGACTTGTCCTTAGAATGTTTTGTCTGCAGACTCCGCCTGCTGGCAGCCATTGGTCCCGAAATCCCCTTCAACTTTCAGCTTGTTCATCCACGGGTGTGCGAAGAGGGTACGAGGAGGATATCACCAACTCAAACCTCCTGCGCCAAGCTTGCCATGTTGTTGGATTGCGTTGTTGAGCAGATTTGAATCTAAATCGATCAGAAAGGCCTTGAGTGTGTGTGTGTGTGTGTCTGCTTGCAAACTGACTCAAACGCAGGTCCATCGGCGAGGGGGATAGCACATATATACATACGCATACATGCGCGTGGCGCATAAAAAAGCGTAAACACCTGATGACATTGTGAGAACTGGGAATCGCTTGAGTAAGAAAAGCATGGCCCTGTGCGGGAATTCCGCTGTTTGAGTCCGCAAATTTTCGCATACTCGCGTCGCGCCGCAGCGCAAGCTGCCTGTTCAAGGGAAGCTAACCTAGTCGCTGGGTAGTGAAGGTAGCTACTTAGCTGGATACTTAGTACGTAGGTTTGTGTATAGGTGGGATGGACTTGGTTTGATGCGTTGTGCGAGCCCGAGAAATGAAGGAGTCAGATTGGCGAGGAAGGGCGGCGCTAAACTGGGAATCTCCGGCTTCAACCGCCTGAGCTGAAGAGCTGAGGCGAAGGGAAGAAGCCGGTGACGGAGAGAGACAGACAGCGAGAGAGAGACAGAGAGAGAGCGAGAGAGAGAGAGAGAGAGCGCAGGGGACCAACAACGTGCTGCAAACTGTAGCTTTTTTTTTATGTGTCAAACTTCCGCCAGGTGATTTGCACATTGCAACCATGTTCTTCAAGGCCGGTGGCCTTGGGGCAAGCAGACTGAAAGGCTGAAAGGCATGCGCAAGTCTTGGCAGAGCAAGTCCTGAACCTTCGCATCGTTCCAGCGCCGCTGGCCCTTGCCCTTGCCCTCACGCTTATCCTCGTTTGGCCCGTCCCCAGTGCTGGAGAGGGTCAGGCGTTCAATTCTTGTTTCAACGAATTGTAGTACTTGAATCTGCGTTTCTAGGCTTTCGCTTTTTGGAGGTTTGAAGTGGTAATGTGGGAGTTAGCTTTGCAAGAACCTCGAATGACCTGGGAGCTTTATATTTGACCTTCACAGGTGCCAGGATCTGGCGTCCTTCATCTCCGCCATCTGCACTTGCTTTTAGGCGGTGTGCCATTTGCCAAGCCCTCCCGCAAGCAAGTCTCAAGTCCGCCTTCGCCGGCTCTTGTTTTGTATGAATCACCGCAAACCAACCAAAAAGGCCTCAAAAATCAAACATGCCGCCTCTTCGGCTGCTTCCGCTAGAGTCTCCCGCCGTCCCCCCGGGAATCGCTGGCTTGGTTTCTGTGGAAGGTTGCAGCGCAAACGCCAAGGAGTGATGAAAAAACGCATTTTATTGGAGATATTTCTGCAGCTGTTGCGTGGGGCTTGCGATTTTCACCAGAAACACCGTGCATGACATGATGAGACGCCAAAGGTTTCTTTGCAGTTTTTGCGTTGTGCTGAAAGCACCATGGCAAGCAAGCCGGGAACTGCCGGGCGTTGAAACTTGCTTCCTGGCTGAGCCAGTCCACGTCACTGACTGCAAAATCACTGGCCAACAAGCGTGGAGACACAAGCCTGACAAAACGACACCTTGCGAACACAAAATGTTATTTGAAAACACGTCGTTATCGTGCTTGTTTGCTCCCTCTCGTGTGCCTGGAATCTGTTCTAGTGTACCAGCCCATTTGAAAAAAATGCGGCGGGTGTGAGGCGTCCCTGAGTGCAACCATGTTTCCGCCTCATTCTTGCTTCTCTGCCTTGCACCCTCGTCCTGACTGGGCAGAAGGAAGCAATAATGAGACAACAAGGCTGCAAGGCATGATGAGCCGCACTCCTCCTTCACAGCTCTATTCTCAATCCTGCACTGGCTCTTGCCCTTGCCTTTGCCCTTGCCGCCACCTCACATCCAGATCCGGCCGCCCTAATGATAGAGATGCCCCCTCAAAACAGGCTGTGTGAACATATTTTGTTGAATGATTCGGGGGCTGAGTTGGCTTTCGGCACCTGGCCCTCTTCGGCGCTCCGCCAAAAGAGGCCCCCCCCCCCTGCGGGCCCAGGACTGGTTCAAAACAGCAGCTTCCGAGTAAGCGTTCCGTTTACAACTATATAGGTGCAGCGTTAGGAAGGCTAGATTGACATAGCTTGCCCATGTTTCTCGGCGCAATCCAAGCCACCCTTTTCCGGAGTGTTGCCCCTCAATCTGCGCTCTGTCAGCGCCTAAGCGGCTCGCAAACACGGATGCGCGGATGCGGCTTGCTCAGCATCACGCTCGTCACAAAGGATGAATTTGAGGCGGAGGTTTAAACAAGGTGACAAATTGAGGTGTGAGCAAACACACGAAAAGTGTACTGCTCTCACCAACTTTCGCTGCCAAGCTGCCCAAATACCTCTCTCCATGCGCAGCGGTGAAGGTTCAGTTGGCAGGGCCAGCAAGTCGCAACCATCAGCGCTGAAGCCTGACACGAAGAAGAAAAAAGTCACACAAAGCCCGGCCAAATGTTCAGAGAATGCCATGGGTCACTGCGCCCTCGAACTGCCGCGCCCAACTGTTGGCCATCCGAGCCACAGTCCCAGGGCGCCGCGGCGCGGCAGCGCCGCGCTCGCTCCAAGAACTCCGCGCGAGCCACGTCCACGTCTGCCACCACGGGGCGCGGGTAGCTGGTGCCTAGCCTCGCAGTGGGACTCGAGACGCAGGAGCTGAGGCAGGCGCTGAGGCAGGCGCTTCACACCCGCAGCATTCAACACATCCGCGGGAGCCTTCCGGAACAGAAGTGTCATGCGCTGGAATGCGTGAGGCCATCAGTTCTTGCTCAGCTTGCGAACTCCCACGGCTGCCTGCCTCCCACGGGCAATGGAGATACTTCAGCGGCAGCTTGGACAGCTCAGGAATCCAGTATCGCACGTATTCGCCTCTCAGCCCAAGCCACCCAGAATTGGCTTTGACAAGGGCCCTGCCACGTCTCTCGCAGAAGCTCTACATGACATATGGCGTGTGTCGGTTTCATGTCGGATTCCATGTCTGTCTATGCGCTCGCCATCACTCCAGCATCATTCCTGCGCATCACGTGCCCGCCTTGGGGATCGGCAGCCCGCGCGTGGCGCACTGGATGGCAGTCTATGCCAATCAGCCACTGTGAGACTCCTGGCCATGTTTCGCAACAGGTAAACGGATGAGCGATTCATCCATTCCGATGGGTAGTAATATGGCCGATCCCCAGAAACATGTAAAGAATCAACAAGTATGGCTGCACACGTTATGGCTGGAGTATCCCTTACTAAGCTTCATCTACCCGGGTTAGGCAAGTGCATTGGTTGCGCCAGTGCGGCATCAGCCAAGGTGAGATGTTTCTTTGCGTTGAAACTTGCATTGGGCCCATTTGGCTTGTGCAAGTTCGCTTGATGCCTCCAAAGCTTTGATTGTGGCTCCGGTGACACAGCCTGTGTCCGGGCAATGAGCAACAGCATCAAACCAGTCCGGCCCAGCCAGGGCTGGAAAGGAACCCGAAAATGCGCCGGACCCCATGCCACTACTTGGCCGCAAATGGGGAGTGGAGCACCGTCACAACCGGTTTCTGGAAAAACGCAGTCGGGAATCCGGCCTGCCAAGCCTTGGTGCTGCCACATCATGGAGTTGATGGCCAGGTCGCTGTCCGCCAACGCCAAGTGAAACCACTCCTGCAAGAGTCTTGCAGTGCGACGCTCGCCTCCCATAGCTTGATGAACAAGTTGAATCGAAGGCCTTTGGGAGACAAAGCCGTACTAGTTGGGTATGGGTCAAAATTAGACCACCAGAAAACCGCAGGTTTCAGTCCTTTGCCAGTTGTTGTTCTATTTTGGGGATACCTTATTTCTGACCCACGGCCAATTCACGGTCAAGCCGGCCCCTTCAGCTCTGCTGGTTGTGTCCCAGCCCCCGTGCCCTCCTCGCCCACTCGCCAGTCAGCCCCCAGCGTCTCCACCAGGAACTGGCCCACCGTATGGCGGAGGTTCTGCTGCAAGTATCCCGTGCTCCGCAGTTCTCTCATTCCCTCGGCTGCATGGCACTCAATACCCTGCTTGGGCCCTGTTTTATGCATCTACACGCATATCGCTTGCATATGGAACCCAAGGTATCTCGGAAACTTGGGGCTCATCTCCTTGCTCCACTTTGCACCAAATTTGCTCACCAGACTGCGCAACGCCTGGGTTCTTGTTTACTTTAAACCCAAGCGGGGCAACGGGACAACGAATACACCACCCATCTGGAGCCCGCCCTCCGGCCACGCGCCGAAACGGCTCGAGTCCAAAGGGCGGCCGAGGCGCGGCGTCCACCAGCGGGAAGCCCGTGGTGCCCTGCCGCCAGGCCTCCACCGCCGCGTCGCGGCGGGTTCGGAGCCACGGCATGTCCCGGAAGGCCTCGGAGGATTTGGCGCTGGTGGTCGTTAGACCGTTTTGGGATCCCATTTTGGTCGGTAGGTGAATTCACCACCCGTTTTAGGCTTCCTATTTTAGTGGTTGGATTGGGATGTTCACTGGTAACCAGGATTTTGACCCATGGCCATTTGGCGCTGGGGCAAAAATAGGTACCCAAAATGGAACCCTGATAAAAGGAAACAGGGACCATCCCAAAATGGAACCCTGGTAAATGGACATATGGACAAAAACCTGCAGTCCCCTGGTGGTTCAATTTTGACCCACCCCCATTTGAGCTCGGCCAGATGAAGCGTGCGGTCTTGTTCACAGGTCGGAGGAGCACAGGTCCAACCAAGGGATGAAACAAAGATATGACAGCCTTGTGTGTTTGAAAGCTGCTTCTCAACTCACAGGACGTCGGCCGCTCAGTGCCAGTAGCTTGCATGCGTACAAGCATGGCCTTGGCCAGGACCGCCAAACAAATCCCAGGACTCGTCGCCCCAGTTCCCCAGCACGGCATATCTGCCAAGGGCCCAATGGAATACGGAGCCCTTAAGGAACGCCCTGGAAAAATGACTGGCACCCTTGTTCAAGTGCATCTTTGCCCCAAAAAGAGACATGGCTGCATCAATACTCAGGAAGCACCACGTCAAGGCCCCGTGCGGACTCTTTGTTCCCGGGAGGTACCACAAGGGAGTACCCACTAGCAGAGGATGGCCGCTGTCGTTCGAACAAGGCTACCGTCATGCTATGGACAATCTTGCTTTTGCTATGTGATTCACTTTCGGCGTGTGCTCTATGATGCCGAGCTGTCGACAAGCGAGGCCCTTCAAATACAGTTCCCTGCGTCCTACCCTCCGAACACCGCAAAAGATCAGCATCGCAGGCAAAAATATGTTCCACCCACCAAACGTGAAAGGAAGTACTTCCAAGACTTCCAGGCAGTTCGCACCAAACCTACGTCGTGGTGCCATTCGCATCGGCTCTTCCGGCAGGCTCGGCCAATAGTGCAGCATCCTTGTAGCGTGCGGTGGCCCTCCAACTTATTTTCGCAACTCTCTGTTCCGCAGGACCACTTCACACTGCAGAGTCTGCAAGTGGTGCATGCCAGTGGTCCAGCACACGAGAGCATCAAAATGAGGCAAACCAACAAACTGCCCCACCATACATGCGAGTGGTCCAGCACATGAGGTCAGAAAACACCGCACTTGCAGGAAAACCAGCAAAAACTGCCCCTGCACCATAAGCTGCCGACCAGTATGCGTAGTCTCGCCAGGCACAGCGCCGGAACCACTTCCGCGCTTCATCACCGGAGCGGTCCAGGCGCCACCAAAGATCCACCATGGACAGCAAACCCAAGCGAAAGTATGGCCTTGCAACGCACAAGCTGTTTCCTTTGGAACAGACAAACTACGAGATTCAGGAAGCTACATGGGGGGTTGATCAAAAGCTCCGTTGGTTGGAAAACCAACCAAAAAGATGCTTGAGTTCAACCAACATGGAAAAAGCTACTCATGGTGTCATTTGGGGCCAGGAATGTTGATCAAGCTCCACATGCCTGGGCCCCCTGCGCAAGGCGCGACTCCTTCGCTTTGGGCCCAGCATCTCGGGTGATGGAGCCCTTGTAGCGGGCCAGTCCGCCCTCCGACTTCCTGATGGCAGCTGGCCATGTGGACCATCATGTGGACCCATAAGGTGCCAATACTGTGGATGGACGAAATCCATTTCGCACCACCTAAAAAACCCTGGGGTGCTTCCCCTGCAAATACCAAACAATGGTTTGCTATGGCTTCAAAGTGGTGCAGGACTTCGTCCACAGTTTCACACCGTCTTTTCAACAGCAAATCCACCCCAAATGGTAGTCCCACATTCGCGGGTCATCTATTGGCTCTGCCCAGCATCTGGAATTGAGCCAGCGCTTGCTGTGCATCCTCCTGGGAACACACTGATGGCGTGTCGCGGTCTTGAGAACAGCTCGTGCCATGCCGCGTCCTCAGTGAAGCCCCAAATCTTCTCGAGCTGCTGGGAGTCATCTAGCAGGGGGCGACCAGTGACCCGAGATGTTGGCATGGCGCCTCAGCCGAGGACAACCCCCAAACTCCCGCCACAAGCACCCACAATCCAAACACCAAACACCGAAGACCTGTCAATCTGCGGCTAAAAACCCAGGCGCCCTTGAAGGGCCATGCAGCATCGGCATCCCCAGCAAAGGGGAGGTGCTGCTCTCCGGGCAAAGGCGTCAAACGCGGCGGCTCAACCACCGCCTTCCGGATCTCGCCCCCTGGCACCGTGTCCGAAGAGGCAAGGGGCCCTGCCACTCGCTGCCGGGCCTTCATGCCAACCGGCCCAAAACGCCTTGAAGATATGCATGCCACCTCGGCACAAAAAAGAAAAGCAGGTTGCAGTCAATCTTGGTCTCTTTTTCTTGGCCGCTGCTCTTATGCATGCCGAAAGGCGCTGGACTGCCTGGAAGATGCGGCAGCGCTCCGGGTCCCGGAACAGAAAGGCGCTGTGCAGCTTCCTGAGCCGGCACCGCATCCCAGCGTCCGAGCCGAGCACTGAGAGTGGCATACACGGCACCAAAGAAAACTTTACCTGGGCCACGTTTCCCTGCGCTCTCTCAAAGCCCCACAGCGCAATCACATGGGCCATGTCTGGTGCTTCGGCATGGCCAACCAACGAGCTGCGCTGCCCAGCTCCCCAGCTCCAAGCGTCACCTCCACGCCCTGCTGCGCGGCAAGGCGCGCCAGCTGCCCCTCTCTCGCCCTCTCGCAGGGCTCCTCACGCCTCGGGGGCTAAAAATCGCCCAGGCACGCCCAGCAAGAGCCCCCTCTAAAATGGGGGACCCCACCAAGCTGCGGATTTTCCTTGCGGTGTCCCTTTTCGACCGCCAAAATGGGGATGTACTCTGTAAAAAAGACACCCCCACTTCTGCCTTCCTGCATGCATTGTTCGGGCCCTGGTCGCTCCTGTTGAGATGCACTTCACGCGACACAAGTCGAATGACTTTCCGACATAGGTGGCCTTTTAGGGAAAATAGATGGCCCTGGTAGATGAGTAAACCACCAGGTAAACCAGGGCCATCTACTTTTCTAGCAAAACAATCAAAAAGGACAGCTATGCTTTCAGGTCTCATCCAGACGTGCCCAAAAAGCGCGGTCCTCGCCGCCACCCAGAAGCCGCAGGTGGCTGCCGTAGCGCCTCCAGAGCGCGGCGTCCAAGTGCCGCAGGGTGGGCGCCAGCGCTGCTTGAAGTGCGGTGCCCTAAAGTGCTGAAGGCTGCGAGCGCTGGAGGGAGAAGAGGGAGGGAGGGAGGGAGGGAGGGAGGGAGGGAGAGAGAGAGAGGGAGGGAGGGAGGGAGGGAGGGAGGGAGGGAGGGAGGGAGGGAGGGAGGGAGGGAGGGAGCAGCGCAGAGAAGAGCAGAGCAGAGCAGAGAAAAGAAAAGAAGAGGACAATGACAACTGAACAACTCAATGCAGATATCCTAAATTGCCTCTCGGCCCCTTGCCGGCCTCGTAGCCCCAGTTGAATTCTCCGCTGCTTGATGGGCAAGCAAGAGCACGCTCCTTCAGAAACCGCATGGATGTGTAGGGGTTCAATTGTTTTGAGGCTGCAAAACGTAAGCATAAGAATGGCGAGAGTCATAGGCCGAATCTAATGCCAACCCCTGAAGAACAAAGCCCCCAGTTGTTGATCAGGGGGGTATCCCCCTGGAAGCAAGGAATACCCCACGAGAAAGACACTCCCGAATGAATAATTCGGGGGATTCTCAATCCAGGGCTCAACATTGGGCTTTTGACCTACACCATTTTTGCAAAAGCACGGCCTCAAGTTGTGCACAAGGGTCCTCTGCAGGGCACCACACGAAGAGGGGCACCGTCGGGCCAGCGTGCGCCGCTGCGAACAGCGCAGGGTTGTCCCGGAGCCGCAGGTCTCCTCACAAGGCTGCAGTCTCGCCAGCAGGAGAAAAACACGCATCCAACGGTCCAACTGATCACACCACACCTGAAGCAACCCCTTGAGAAGAGAAGCTGCCCACTGGCCCATGGGGTACACAGAAAATTGGGCCTAGCTGGACCTCAGATACCTGCAATCTTCAATCCCATACCATAGCTAAAACATGGATCCCATATGGCCATGGGTCAAAATCCAAATCGTACCCCCAGTGAACATCCCAACCCCCACCAAAATAGGCTCTAAAATGCGTGGTGAATTCACCTACCCCAAAATGGTAACATTGGTTTTGACAACAATTGCCATATTAATCAGCACGTCCATCGGAATCTTCAGGCGGCCTACTCGCAGCCATGCAATGCGAGGCGCTGCCATGGCTCAGCTCGAGCAAAACACCACCGCAAGCTGCAATGCTGCAACTGACTGGGGGAGGAGGGCATCCATATATACATATATGTAGATCTGAATGTATATATATATATATATGTATGTAGATGTGTATAAAAATATATGCTACATACATATGTACATATTGTATCTGTATGACAGCCACAAGTATTGCCTCTACACCAAGCTAACTTTCTTTGGCTTATCGGCGGCCTGGCTTTGTGAGCCCTAGTGGCCGCGGCCGTCAGAGCGTGTCCCTGGCCGGCCAATCCAAAACCACGCAAGGCAGCTGCATGCAAATTGAGGCATCCGCGTTGGCGAATGTACACATGGCTGTGGGTCAAAGATAGGTACCCAGAATGGAACCCTGGTAAATGGACATATGGACGAAAACCTGAGGGTCCCTGCTGTTTTACTTTTGACCCATACCCACATCTGCACGCTCTTGGCACACGACAAAGACACAAACCTTGCCAGGCCCCATGCGTTTGCAGCGCTGCTGGCGCAGCCACGGGCACCACAGCGCCTGCGCCGCCTCGACATGAGGCTGCGGTGCTTGGCGAGTTCCCCCTGGATCTGGCCATGAAGACTGCTTGTTCGTTTCGGTCCTGCCATCTGCTTCAGCCTTTTCCATTTAAGCGGTTGTGCAGAACGCTTTGCAGCTCATTACAGTTTGACAGATACATGTTCAACTGCTTCAAATCATGGTCGGCGAAGCATGGTGTCGGCATAGCGACATATAGCCCCATTTGCGGGGAATCATCGGCGATCCTCACCTCCGCCGACAGCAGTCTTGGAAGTCTGCGAGTTCCTTCGCTCGAAAGAGGGGTCTCATGCTAGAAAGCATCAGGTTTCCAATTGACAGAGCTTCGGGTCTTTGTGTCTGTGTGCCCATGTGGGAAAGGTTTGGGATGAGGGTTTCTGGGGCACCGCCCTCCCGGGCAAAGGCCCGTCCTCTGCGCTTGCTTGCCTTGCAAGCGCAGTTGCAAACATCACCCAGCTTGGCGCACCCGCTGCTCAAAAGTGTCAGACTCCAAATGCTCTTCCATTAGGTCCCTCTACCCGAAATACGGCCCCAAAGTTTCAGATGCTTGACTTGCTGGTGCTCAGTAGGGCATGAGGGAATGAACCCAGGGATTGTTTTAAAGGAAACCACCAGTTGGATGGTTTATCTCGGGGTCATTCCATTCCCTCATTCCCTTCTAAGCACCAGCAAGTTGCAGTGGCAGCATCTCACGAGGCCGTGACCATCCGCAGCAGGGTCCTGCCGACGCGCGCGCGGAAACACCCCGCGAAAGGCCCAGCTCTGAAAGTGGAGCGCCTGAACTGCAACAGGAGGCTTCTCTACAGGCCTGGCCACGATTCACACACACACACACGGCCCCTTTGATTTAGCTTACAATATAAATATATATAATGTATAGCCATCCCCCTCTCTAGCTCTCTAGCTCTCTTTCTCTCTCTCTCTCTCTCTCTAGCTCTCTCTCTCTCTCTCGCAGTTGCGGCTTAATGTTCTTTCACGTATGATCTAGATGAGTTCGTGCTTACATGGCATGAACCTAGCAACCTCAAAACTAAGCTCCGGCGTCTGTGGAAATTCTGTTTCAAGACCGTGGCTGAGCTTACAGTCTCGCCGTATTCGAGACCGCGCCATTCGGCCGTGGACCCAAACGTGTTGCTTATCCGGGCCGCTGCGCTTCAAGCGGGTCGTTTCACCCTGGACCCAACTACTCACACTGCTACGTTGGACTCATGGCGGCAGGGGGGGAGGGAGGGGGGCCAATAAGCCCTAAATAAGGGCTTGCTAGGGGCTTGATAAGGGCTTATTTGGGCTCCCTCTCCCTCCCCTCCCTCACCCCCAGCCCCCATGATGGACTGGTTCAGCCTTCAAAATAATCCGGGGTGCTTCCATTCTCATGAGTAATGACCCGGGTCAACCAAGCAAACTTTGTCTGCTCGCGGCCACATGAATCTCGGCACCCTTCCGCCTGGCCGTAGGGAGGCCAAGTGAAAGCTTCACCTCTCGGAAAGCCGCTTGCAGCCGCGCAGTCGCGCAGTCTAGGCATCTGACCGCAAGCAGGGACTCAAGCTTCCGGTCGCCCAAATACCTGAAGAGGTGCAGCTTTGCCATGCGAAGTATTGCAATGGACACAAGATGCAAGTCACTAGTTTTACTCCCGCAGTGAAAAATGCAGGGCGCAAGTGCTCCTTGACCTGGGCCAATGCACGGCCGGAAACTGACGTGCCATCACGTAGTTGCGCTCAGGTTGGCTCCGTAGAGGCATGGTTCTTGTTGTCGCATGCGTCCAGCCTCAACGTCATGCAAAGGCTTCCCATCCCTTGACCCAAACAGCTCCATGCACCGCTTGCGTCCCACAAACCAAGTCCGTTGTGCCTGAGGTGACGGCATTACGGTGCCTACAAGCTGGGCCTTCTCGCCCTCATTCTGAAACACGTCTATGACCACCACGCGCACTTCCTCGGGACTCGGGGCTGGAATTTCCGAAGATCTATCTGCTCAGAAAACTTATTTGCCTTTGCGCCTGCGCCCTGCACCCTTGAGGCAGTCTGACCTTTTGCTCCAGCAGATGTTTGCCCGCCGATGGAATCTCATGGACCTTCTGCTTAGCAGGAGGGCTGCGTCACTCACATCCTCGCCGTCCACCTAGTTCCTGGAGCAGCTGCAGGCCTCATTCCGCAGTGCGGAAAGCGCGCCACCCGGCTGCATTGACAGAAGCCCCTGCCATGCCCGCTTTCTCCCGGAGTTTCTTGATTGGGGACCTCGGCCAGCTGAATGCATTGAGGCCAAGGCTCGCTCTCTCTCTCTCTCTCTCTCTACCTGGGCGCATTTCATCCGTTTCATGCGGCTTCGGCGCCTGTGGCAACAATTGCCCTTCCAGATAACTGAGTGCAGCGCTCGCGCTCACAGCAACTGCATGGAATGAAGGGAAACTCCTGAGCAAACCGACGGGAAGAAGCGCTAGCGGAATAGCACTGGCGATGCCCCAGCCTTGCCCGGGCTCTCCTCGCGCACCACCTTGGCGCCGCCTTGTCAAGAGACACCCGTTGCAACGGCGGGCAATTTAAGAAGGCTGTTCTTAGTGGCCAGGCGCTGCTTGCCAATGTTCAAGGGGCAAACTGACACCTGGCAAGGCGACACGCCCAAACAAGACTGAGTCAGGCGCCACTCGCAGCGCACGAACAACAGAAAACACTGAACATCAGCACTTTTGCACAAGCAATGACAAATTAGCAAAAGCACAACAAATCAGCCCATCTTGAAAGACAACAAGTCACCACCAAGTCCCCTTCCCCCCCGTCCTTCTGCGATGCTTTGCGCGTTTCTATGTGACGCACACATCTCCCCCCCGGCCTCCAGGGCGCGCATGTCCTCCTCGCCGAGCTGCTTCGGTAGGCTGGGCAGCGATTCCCAGCGCCTGGCTGCCGGCTCCAGTCGTCTCTCTGCGTCTCGGGCCGCATACGGAAAGCCAAGAGGAGCTGATCTAGAACCATCCCAGTCAACATCCTCAATGCTGAGTTGTGGGATCATTACTCACCAGCATGTTCAAAAAAGACCAAGGGGTGGGGGGGGGGATTGCTGGTTCTCCAGTCGTGCTCAACCCCGGGGGTCGAAAGGGGTGCCGCACGCGTTCACCATGTCAGTACAGGTGCTCTTCTCTGTGGGGGCAAGGGCTGCCGCTGCTCTGCTTCTGTTTTCACCTGCTACACCGCTGTTGTTGAGGCACACAGCGGCAAACTTTGCCACCAACGGCCCAGCGAAGGGATGTCTCGATGCCAAATTGATGCTGATTTCCGACGGCAACTGTTGTATACTTTCTCCATTGAAACCATCCTGAAGCATCTTCCGCATCGGAGGTCGAAACGGTCAGAGCAGGTGCCTTCAACCCAGGGGTTCAGCCCAGCCTTAGCAGCTGTCGCGCCCTAGATCTGTGCGTCAGGTCTGGGTAGAGACTCGTGCGCATCCGCCTCTCAAGACGCGCCAGGCGACATAAAAACCAAAGTGAGCAGCGGCTTCGCGGACTAGTCACGTCGATTGCTGGGGGTGCTGTGACCCAGGCTAAGCCGCGCTAGGCTTCAGGCTGCGTGTCCTCGGGGGCCTGGCCTAAGCATCGCCAGCCCATTTCTTGTTTTTGCCGCAGGCCAGGCTGGGCCATGGTTCCAAGCATAAGCACGTGCGTCTTAGAATCGACCCAGTCAAGGCACGCATCATCTTCACAATGGGCAAGTACGCCTCAGGAATTCAGACTGGCAAGCCCAAGCCATCTGATGCTATCTGCGCACAAATCTAATGGCGGCCCATGCTGCGGCAGCAACACGTCAACTTGCAATGCTACCGCGCCAATCCCCCCATTCGCAGTGGATGACAAGCCTTATTTGTCGACGTGGTGCGCTTCAGCTGCTCCAGTTCCGCCTTGGAAATGCCGCAGAAGAGGACCAGTCAGACAAAGCGAAAAGTTCGAGCACATAGTAGGGATCCTTACATTATACACCTGAATTGCCTTGTCAATGGTGGTTTCCCTTTATGTTGGTGGAAAAAGCCATGTTTCAAATAGGCAAAATGTATCTTTTAAGGAGCCCTGCGTAGAAACCCGCAAAAAACAACCGCCGCAAAGCCCGCATTTTTTCCAGCAAGCCTTGGTCTTCATGAAGGTATCGCCAAAGCCGTCGCCTGCCACAAGCGAAGCGCCGGAAAAAGGCCACGGATTCCAGCAGAAGCTGCCACCCCCTGGCTGCAAAAACAAGCGAAAACTCCTCGAACATGGGGCCGAATGGTCACAAAAGGTAGCCAGCAGCGGTCAAAAAGCAGAACCCGACCGCGCCTTGGGTCGGCACCCAGCCCACACGGGAAGTTCGAGAAGCCGTGGTCGTCCAGATCTGGTCGGCAGCGCGGTTCTTCCTTCTGCCCATCTACGTCCAGCTTCTTTCAGAAAGCCGCTAGGCCGAAAAACTTGCTGCACAGCACCAACAAAAAACACCGCAAATATAGAAACGATGCAGAACAAACTAGCATATACTGACATGCCAATGGTGAATTTCGCTGGCCAGTACTCAGCTAACAGCAAAACCCTACAAAATCACGCTAGGTGGGGTGCCAGCAGGCAATGTGTTGAGCAAGGTGCCAAAAGCAAGATACAAACCAATTTGGTAAACTCACAACGCACCGGTTCTATAACCTCACCAAAGCAACAAAAGCAACAAACTGATTAATTGACGCACTGGCAGTTCCCAAGCGGAAGGGGACAAGAGCTGCCTTGCCTCGCTTGAGCCGGGCTACTACCAGTCTTGTGGCCTTGCCTTCCCTGCCCCATCCAGTTCCGCAGGCAATGATAGGCCCTATAAAACGCCTACCGCACGAACAACGCTATTGCATAGAGCCACAGGAGAAGCTTGGTCACTCGAACTGCAAGGGAGGGGCCTAAGACTAAACACTGGCTTCGAGCACGAATTCCGTACCGCGTCGCAAGAAAGGCTATTCAGCGTTGCGAGCAACAACGTATTGCACGCACCAAAACCACTTCAGTATCAACCTTGTCAAGCCGTTGAGCATGGAATTTGTTCTCAAACGCAGAGTCGTTGACAAACTCCCTGTGCCCCTCATTCACACGCCCTCAACTGCCAGAGGCTCGGTATGGCTGAGCACCTTCGAAAACTGGACAAGCAAACGAGGGCTGGATCTCTGGAGTCTATGTTGCTGATGCGTAAACATGGCGATACCCTGCATCAAAGCTATGGCGCATGAACAAACCCCTGCATCAAAGCTATGGCGCATGAACAAACGCCCTGCCCTGATGCAAAACCAACAAATGCCCTTCGCGTGTCACGCCTCCGTGCGAGGGGGTGACATGGCGGAAGTGGCCCGCAACCTGGCAAGGTCGTCTTTTGCCTTTTGGACACTGCGAGCGACCCCAGGGAAACGTCACATGGGTGGGAAGTTCAATGAGGGGCCCTTTGGTGGACATCATTTAGGTCGGCATTGATGTCCACCTCCTTGGCATCGCTGCGTCACGGCAACCTCGTGCAGGGTAGCGAGGCCGGACAATGGCTGAATGGACTCCCTGGCCCAATTTTCCCGGTGACAGTAGAAGCAAACTACGCCACTTCGCATATGGGGTGCTTGGGGCCCTAATTCCTTAGTTGGCTAGCCAGCTAGCAAGGTTTCTCAAGGCTCAGGAGCAAACTATTTAGCCAAACGGTCAGTCAGCCAGCCAGCCACCCAGCCAGCCACTGAGTCAGTCAATGCGTCTGTGAGCCAGGCAGTCAGCCAGGCGGTCAGTCACTGAGTCAATCGTAGGGTGAGGTGAGGTGAGGCCCAGTCAGTCCGTCCATGCGTCAGTGAGTCAGCTGCGTTGTCCATGAAACCAAACGCAACTTTGGCGAAGGAATGAGAAGAAGGGGCAAAACGCTACAAAAGCACCTGCGAAGGTGCGCAAAGGGCTGTTCGAGCAAAGTGAAGCACGTAAATTCGTGACATTGTGTATTTCATTTGACCACCCAAAGGGAGGGTGTATATATCACGAGGTTGCAGATCACCCCCCCCCCCGCCCCCGCCCCCCCCAAGTTCCGCAAAGGATTGAAGATTGCACAAACCACAAAAGCACGTGGAGTTTCTAATGACTCACCACCTGCAAATCCAGGGAGAAGATCCCCGTTGGAAAGCTGCAAGAAAGCAAGCGCTCTGGGACCATATCTCAGGCGTCGCAGCGAGCTGACGCACCAAGAGTCAAATTTCCGCGTTTGCCTCATTGCCGAATTCTCCATGTGCTCGTATCATGTACTCGCTCTATGTATGTAACTTTGAAAATTAGTGTCAGTACCCCAATGTGTATTGAAGTTCCTTGGGCTTTGCAAAACATTGCGTGCAACATGCTGCGGGAGACTAGCAATGTGATAAGCTTACACGGTGTTCTACATCGCATGAGCAAGCATCCCCTTCTGCAACCTGTAGCGCGACAAACAAACCGATGCGCTGCCAAGCTGCATGCGCACCATGCCGCAGCCCGGGTTCCCTTGGCGTCCAGGTCTGAAATGTTCTGCACCCCAGTCAGCTGCGTCACTCGGATACTTTCTCGGTGGAACTGGCTGGTCAACTCCTGCTGCTTTGTCAAAGCGCAACTGCTGAGGCTGCAGCCCGCAACTGTGTGGCACTCTCAAACCCACATAACTAGAGCCACTGCGGGTCAGGATGCAGCGGCAGTACGTAAACAAGTAGCGCAAAGGATAACTCGGGTGCGATGAACTCCCCCAAGTCAAATGCGAACAGCGCACAAGTTGAGGCTGATGTGTTCCTGGCCCTTCCTTTCCGAATTTCACTATGAGACGATCGCCCGGATACGTAGGGAAGCGCCGAGGCTGGAACATTGGCGCCCTCCAACTTCAACTGCTGCCGCACCTGGCCCGGGAATCGTCAGCTCTGGACCTCGATGACCTTTGGAAGTTCAGGGCCACTTCGCACTTTTCGGAATATAGGCGTGTCTTTTTTTAGGGACCCACCCACCCCCCAAACAAAAAAAATGCTGGTGTTCTGTCCTTTTGGTTTCCCTGCCACCCCCCCCCCCAAAAAAAAAAAAGGAAGAAAAAAAAACATATCGGCCAACAGCCCATGCCTTGCATCTCTGCGGGAAGTTGGGGTCGGGCTGCGCAGCGTTGGGATTCGCTTCCACGTCTTTCAGCGTGTCAGTCCTTACTCGGCGGCCAGGAGAGGCATGGGCCACCAAGCTGTGGCCGAGCTGCGACGGAAGCGTCTCTGGCTTGGCTTTTCTTTTCTTTCGCAAACCAGGCGGCCAAACGGATCAATCTATGAATCTATGTACATTCGCTGCCAGGGAACATCTCCCGCCAGGTGTCGGGCACAGGGCGGGGAGCCGAATCAAAGGCCGGCGGCGCCGGCTTCTGACGTCGGCTGTGCAAAGCGTTCCTGAGGCGTGTCCACATCGCTTTCGTCCTTTCGTCCTTTCTCTGGTTCTCTGGCCGGTCATCTAGCTCCAAATGGGCAAAGCGCTCAACTCAGGAGCCGATTGCCACATGCACAGCACGTCGTCGGCGGGATCCGCCACCTCGGCGATGGGCAGCATCCAAGGTGCATGCCCTGGAAATTCCAAGGCGCCTGGGGCATGATGGCAGCAGTGGGGCCCATGATGCGGAAGTCCGTCAGCGACCACGTCATGTTGAAGTGGAAGCTGTACAAGAAGGGACAAAGGTCCTACTGGCGCAGTCACCCATAGCGCATACCTACATCAAGTGCTCTGAAAGCTGATGCTCTAAACCGTGCTCCTTCAGGTGACTCGCCAAATCCTCCAATTCGTCGGCCATCCTTGCCATCCATCATTGAAACCCAGTGAATCCCTCGCAAGCAACAGCCTCACAACAGTGAGGAAGGAGTGGAGGAGCAAACCTTCTGCTTCCTTGTGCTTGCCTCCTATTTGGACCAGGGGGCAGTGCCCAGGGGTGAATGGACAGCAGCATCACCGGCTGCTTCTCTCGCAGAAAGCCGGCCATAGCCGGGATGATGTCCCGCTCGCTGCCCTCCTTGGACATCGCAGCCCAACACCCTCCGGAGCACTAAAGTCATTATTTTGACTGTTGCTGGGGGGATTGTCAAAGTCAGAAACTGGGGTGGTGTCCCTTTAACCTACCACTTAGGGGTGACTTTGATGGGGCCTCAGTGCGCCTCCAGGGCAGACCGAGGGAACAGGTGGACAACCTTTTCTGAGTCTGCCTTCCTTGCAGCAGCACATGTGGCTGTGGGTCACAAGTTTGGGTAACCCCAACATGGCTTGCCCTGGCAAACGAGGAATGGACGAAAGCCAGCGGTCCGTATCCTGGTCACATGTTTGACTGACCACCCATATCTGAGACCAGGCGCCACATCGATCTTCACAAACGTCACCTCCTCCAGCTCCGGAAAGGCCCAGAGCAGGTCCTTGACGCTCCAAACGGCAGAAAGTATGCCGCCCTGGCCGTCGTAAACGCCCACCTGATCCTTGGAATGGGAAAAGGGTGCGTACCCCTTTAACACCTTCATATGAGCCTGAAAGGCCTGCCGTTGTTCACACCCCTCTCCCAAAAGGAGGTATATACAAAACTTCAAGGTGGGCTGGCAGCCAAAGAGACAGGTGCCCCGCCCGAACTTCCACCATTGCCGTTTGGTAAAACCTCCATCGCTTTACACATGAAACGCTATTGATCGTACTTCAGAGGAGAAAACAAGGGAAGGCCCGGTAGCAGCCTCTGCAAGGTCTCTCCCGTGTCTCCATTTTCCAGGTCATTATTGTTGAGCAAAGCATTGGTTAGATAACATGACGAATCGTTGCACCGTGCCTTGTTGATGACCAATGATTGTTGTTTTCCGGCAGAAACTGCAGTGTTTGCCTTCACTTGTTGCGGGATGCTGATCCGATGCACTATAACAATGGCTCCTGCATTTCCTCCATCAAAATTCAAAGCTAGCTGACTCGCTGGCTTGCCGAGCTGCTGCAGAGTCGCCGCGGTTGGTCATCTGAACAAAGCCGCGCTTGGGCCCTAGCGCTGCGTGCACCAAGGAGAGGCGCCCAATCCTGGCTGCACATCTCCATAGGCAGAAACAAAAACGCATCTCACCGCAACGGCGGTGCCACAACGAGGCATTCGAAGTTTGAAAACAGTATGGTCTGCATGCACCCCGAGCCTGTCACGATTGGCTGCAGCGTTCAGCGTCAGCTCATCAAATGCCTTGTCCCCGGGCTCCAGAACCACCACCTAGCACTCAGCAGCTTGCATCGTGCAACGGCAGCGTGCAGCCAGCTTGGGGCATCGGTGCAATGGTATGCAGTCCATTCACTCAGATCGAGCTGGGCCAGCAAGTGGCGCAACGAGTTCCTACGAAAAGTGGCACGGAACGGCCAGCAGCAAGGACCCTCCACCCTCCACCCTCCATCCCCCCCCCCGCCCCACCAGCCGCCTTGCGCGCCACCGCGGCGAGCCACAGGGCGGTGGGGCCCACCCAGCCACCCAGGTCCAGCACTACGGCCCCTGGCCTCACGAAGTGCCGAAAGACCCGGAAGCTCGTCTCCTCCCACGAGGCGTATCTGGTCTGCCACCAGAACCTGGGCCGGCTGAACCAACCGGACCAAGCGCGGCTCGCTCGATCGCCGCAGCGGATTTGGTTGATTGCCCCCGGCAACGGTATGCTAGCGGAGCACGCTGCATGCTTGGCTACCACAACTCAGGCATGAGATGCGGCAATTCCGCCCCGCTGCTGGCACACCCCTTCCCATGCCAGGGCACGCGTTGCTTGAGGAGCCATGGAATCGCACACTGACTCCGGCCTCGCACACTGACGCCAAGCAAACCGCTCCCAGCCACCTTGACCTTGCCGGAAAAGCGAGTAGTATACCCCGCTATGAGCCTCCAAGACCATGTCCGACCCGCCTTCACCAGGCAAAAAGGCTCCCGCGCGCAGGGCCAATGGACCATGCGGTAAGGCAATCGATGCTCAAGCCAAGTGCTAACTCTTCACTTCAAGTGCACAAGTCCAATCATACCATGCCATGCACAACTGTCATTATTCTCGTACTGATCCTCAGTGGTCATCAGAGCCTGTCGTCTGTCAATGCTTGAGCCAAACCGCATCGGACCTGCATGTGCACATTCTAGCGCATAATCGTACCTATGACCCAGGGCATGAGGATCGCTGCTGGAAGTTCTTTGCTGGCCTTTTCCACACCATCCGTGCTACGGCACCCGGGTATGCAAGTTCTTCGGCGCTTCCGCGATCTCAGCGTCTCCGGGTGACGCGCTTCTTCAGTGTCCGCAGTGGCCACAGGCTTCGTCAGGAAGGATTGCATCTGCGTGGCTTCCATCCACGTGCGTCGCAACGGCCCGTTCGCCGGTCCCGTCTGGGGCTCAACGTGGCTCAAGCGCCGCCATCCAGGTGGTCACCGCCCTGCCATGCAAGAATGGGATCAGTATACCTCGGGTGGCAATGAGCTCTCCTAACCCGCACGCACGTGCCCCTCACCAAGTAGCACATGTGCATCCTGTTAATGCCTCGCAACACAACTTGTGAAAGGCCGGGATGCCAATACGAGCCGGGCACTCCTGACTTGTTATCCAGATGCACGCGTCGGGTCCAGTTCCACTGATGCTTGGGGTCCATGGCTGCGTCTGCGGATGTGTGGACAGGAGTGTTCCCCGCAGCAAGGTAGTGTGCGCCTATCAGGTGCTTAGTCTGCGCACGCCAGTCAAGACTCGTGGGGATGCAACAGGGCAAAACCCCGGCCTTGCAAGCTGACAATCATGGCATGCACGCAGGCACCCGGCCAGCCGTACTTCAGCACTGGAATAGATTCCTGATCTTCAGGACCATGGTGCACCTGTGAGGGCATTCCTTCTGCACAAAAAGTCAAAAAGGTCACGTCACGTGAGAAAAGCCAAACACTGGCACCTTACATGCCAGCTTTTTACAGCTTTCCGCCCCGACCTTGCGGCCCTGCTTGCAGAAACCCAGCTGTATCGTATCAAAGGGCGGGATGCTTCCAGCTACGGCTGCCAAACGATGTCCAAAGTTGCGGGCCAGCGACCTAGGCTGCGCGGAGCCGCAAAGCTCCATTTTGCGGATTGCGAATTCGGAGATGCCGCGCGCATCGGCAAAAGAGTGGAGAACTCCTTCTAAGACTACATTGACTACCCCCAAACCCTACCCCCAGAAGCCAAAGGATATGTAAAGGTTGTAGAAGGGTTATATAAGGGTTTTACGAGGGCGCCTCAATTTTTTGCAAGCTATACAAGGCTAGGCTAGGCAAAGCTATGCAAGCTGAAGCTCATCTGGCAAGCGGCACGTCATCCTCGAAGATGCTGGCACAAGGCCATCGCTCCGC